AATCAACATTCATTAATCATAATAATATTTATCTGGATTATTTCAACAACTATATTAAATTTATCATTTGGTTGTGTATTACTTAAAACATATTTCAATTTAAAATATGTACCCATAATAGATGATCTAAGTGATATACTGAAACACCAAGATATGTTAGTATATATTGATAAGAAAATGATTTATAAATTGCCGGATAATTTCAAAAGTACTAATATATTCAAGCAGATATTTCTACAGTATAATAAAACATTATTACATTATAATAATTCAATAAATATATTAGATTCAAAAATATTTAATGCTATTGTAAATGGGAAATTAATATTAATTCAACCTAGTGTGGCTACTCAAAAACTAATAAATGTCAATTTTAAATATAAAGATTTATTTGAAATTAGCAAGCATAAATATTTTTTGGATTATTCATTTCATTTGGTAAAAGGTGGACAAATATTTTCAAATCCATTTATTAATTTGTAAGATATATAAAAATAAATTGTTTTACATTAAAGATATTTTATTTTAAGATATAAACGCATATATGAAAGTGGACTGGATTATTATCATAAAATGATCGGCATCATATTTACTAATAAAGTGAACCTAAAGTCAAATATTCACAATAAAAATAATTTATTACTACATTCATTTAATGACCATAAATTATATACTACATTATCAACAATGGATATATTAATGAATATTTTCCTAATGAATCTAGCTGTGTATATTATAGCGACACTTATCGTGTTAATAGAAATTATTTATAAAAATAATAGCTTTGCAATTAAATATTAGTAAATATTCAGTGCAATTTAACATTTTTAATATTAATCATTAAAATATATAAACTAACAAAATTCAAAATAGTGAAATTATAACATGAACATTAACAGTAAATTTTACTAAATATTTATTATGAAATGTAATTTTAAATATAGTTGTTAGCAACACCATCTTGCAAGGTACAAAAAATAAACTTATATATTTGTCAATATTATAATAAGAAAATTAATACTTTTTTGTCTTAAATAACTTATCTAATATTTTATTCAAACTTCATTTTATCTATTAATGCAAAGTATATTTGAGTTTAATATTTGGTGCATTTTGAAATTGTTAATGTACAATTTAAGTAGCATTGTATTTCAATAAAATTCTGCAAATATATATTGTATCACTATAATAACTTAATGTTTTCTATTTATAATATGTCTTAATATTTTCAAAAACTTTAACAAGGGTAATTAAAAGAAATGTGCCGTATCTACTGAACTATATCTGTCCACAAAAATAACAAACCGTGAAATTCATAAATAAAAATAAACCCCTACTCCATTCATTAAAAGCAGTATTTACCTATTTTTATCATATAAATCGCGTATTAACAAGTTTATAAAAATGAGTAAACAGTGTATCGATTATATTTTTTATCGTATTTTTGTCGAGATTTGATATTTGCAAAATATTAATTAAAATACATATAAATTATCTTGTCAACTCAATAAATATAGTAAACATGTTTTTATAATTGTCGATGAATATAAACTAATAACTTTCGTAAAACCTTTTACAAAATAAGTCTTCAATTATATTATTTCTTGCATCATATGAGCATTTTATTATTATCATGTCAAGTTATTTATGTTAATTAATGTGTATTGAATGAAAATTTCTTTTATAGTATTTATTAACATAAATAATTTATTTAGCATGTATATTTTAATGTCATTTCAGAATAATGAACAATAAAATTTTTATTTAGAGCAGTAACTATTTTTTTATTTATAAGTTATAATAAAAAAATATGATAAAAATAACAAATTATAACTATAATATAAAATAAATTAAAAAATACACTATGTATGTTAACTTTAACGGTGATATAAATTGATAATTTTTAAAATTAATTATTAACCACAATGAATACTACTACTAAATTCCTAATAAATTACTTATATAATATTCCATATATTTTAACAAAGCAAAATTATCTTTATCATTGTAATGAAAGTCATAATTTTAATATAAATTCAACAATTCTCTATATAATTAACGAGGTAAATTTTCTATTAGTTACATATGATTTGGAATTACTAAGTTGTTTTACTAAAGGCAACAGTTGTACATGGAATATATCTGGCAATACTAAAATATTTAACATGTAATTTGAACTTGGCTATTAAACTAATAAATAACAATATCGAAGAGAAAAATGTATAATAATTAAAATTATTTTGGATTAATTTATAAGATTATTTTTAATTTATTTATATAATATAGGCAATAACATCATTTCTAATTTATTACTCAAATATCCTGCTAAACAACACTGAATATACTGGTGTAGAATCACGTGAATTTTATTTGATGGAAATACTTTGCGGTTTCAAAATACTCAGGGATAATTCATATTTTGCGTTTATTAAACTTTTTGATAATTATGTATGTAGTTTATTATAATTTTAAAATTATTTTTTAATATTTAAGCACTGACCTTTTGGCACATTCGTACACTGAAAATGAGAGAGCTCATCATTTGTAAAATTATTATACAATATTGAATTAAATTAAATTAAATTAATATTTTATTAATTTTTTTAAAAAATAAGTAACATATATTATTGTTTAATTTAATAATAATTTAATAATCATAAATTAAATCATATTTAAATAACTCTGTCACTTTCCTATGGCATATGGAGAATATAATGGTAAATTACTAAAATGAGAGAGCTATTTAAATATGATTCCAATTATTAAATTATTATTAATCTAAACTATAATATATCATAATTATCTTTTTAAAAAATTAATAAAAAATTATAAGCTCTCTCACTTTCAGTGTATCAGTGTACCAAAATATCACTGCTAAATGTTTGTTATTATTTAAATTATATTTTAGATATGGCTTGGTATAATATTGTGCACAATATTTCTACTAATTACAATTAATTCATTAACTGACTCAAAATGGAATTTTATCTCAATTTATACTATGATTTATAGCTGTTTAGTTTACCAATCATCAGGGTTAATTCAACCTGTGTTACAATATTCAAACAGATTGCATTATAAACAATGGGCAATTTTATTAATGTTATATATATGGCTAATATGTTCAACATTTATAAGTTTAGCATTTTCTTGTATCTTGCTAAATATATTTATAAATTTAAAATATGTGCCCTTGGTATATAATTTGTGGGACTTATTAAATGTTCATAACCACTATTTATCTATAAGTATAAATAATATATCTAGTGAAGCGTTATCACAATCACCAGGGTTTGAAAATATTTCAAAATATATTATAGCTAAAGGTAATGAATATGCCAAACATCTTAATTACACCAAGCTCGATTTACAATTAAAACAAGAATTTAAAGGATTAATAAATGGCGAAGTAATTTTCTTGAAACATACATTTGAAAATAATAGGATTTCAGGGGTACTTAGGAGATACCGTGATAAATTCACAATTGTTGAAAATAAATATTTTTCAGACTTTTTATTTAATATAGTTAAAAATGGACAAATTTATAGCATGCTACTAATTAACATGTAAGCTAATAGCGTACGTTAGAGTAAATTTTAATTTTTAATTTAAGTATGTTTAATTTAGATTTAAACGAATTCGTGAGGGTGGTATAAATATTCATCATTTGGTACTGGATCAAATTCTGGCAAATTATTACGTTAATAAAATATATAACACAAGTTTTAATTTTCTTGAAGATAGTGATGACAATAGCAATAATTATTTTATTAAACAAATAAACATTAAAGACTTATTTAGAAATGCATGCAGTATTTTGTTAATGAATGAATTTATTTCAATTATAATATTTTTAATTGAATGTATCATTTTTATATTTAAACACTAATGTTCTGTATATCTATTAAAATCAATTATTAATTTAATATTATGGAATTTCTTTAAGACTTATATTATAAAACGCTTAAAAATTAAAATTAAAATAATTGGTCAATAAATGATTATAATTTTTTTAACTACAATATAATGTTTAATAATATTGACACATGCTAATGTTATTTAGGGTAACACTTAAACTAAATGATTATTACGACAATACCCCTTATCTGATTAAAGCAATTGAGGAAAGGTACATTTTTACATAAAATTTAATTTTTTATTTTGATATTTTAAATCGTTATTAACCTTGTCATAGTCTTATAATTTGCATTTATCTTAATGCATAATTTAATACAGTACACTTATTAACAAAATATATTTGATATAAAAATAAGTTTGAAATATTTTGTAAACTATTTAATGTTGTAAATTTTATGCAATAAAAATAATTGCCAATTTACATAAACCTCAATTTGTCTTTGAGATATTCATTTAAATAATTTTCAATTTTCTTATTGCATCAATTTATGAGCAAGTAAAATTCTAAACACATTTATGCATAATTAGTATAAAAATTATTTTTTGATGCCATTATTATTATATTGTATACAATACACTTGACCCGTAAATGTGGTATGTTTTTCATTTAAGTTTGTGTTTTATATTAACTAATAAATTTATTTAGATATAAAAGTGCCAAAAAAAATTATGCTGCATAATTACAAGTTAAATGTTAAATTTTTTAAATACATAATTGTCAAAACTGATTATAAAAATGATTTATTTATAATTTATTGCCATTTATTTATGATAAATATTCTGATCATAATAATGTCACTTAAACACAATTTATATGCACACAATGATACTACAAAAATTAGTATACCTAGTAATAATAAATATAAAAATATTATAAAATAAAAATTTTAAATATAATAAGATAAAATAAGTGTCGAAATAATAAATTTAAAAATATTTGCCGGCTTATTAGATGCCGGTGCTGATCCTGGTGTAATCGGGGTGGTTGGTTCAGGTGTTGTGGTGGGTGGTGGGGGTGTATTACATTGTTGATAATCCTTACACGTGACATCTGTTTTTAATTTTGTTAATTGTATGCCAGTTATATACTCCTTAAATTCAGCCTCCGTACAATCATCCTGGTTATAATTAAATAATAAATTATAAATAGAAATAAGCTAGATTAATTTACTTACGTGTTTTGCATCAAGACCACAATAATAGGCAATATATACGTGACAACATGTAAATGGACTTGGTAAAGTTTCATTATAAGGAATGTCCTTTCTCATTTTATCGGTCAAACATTCAAAAACTTCTAAACCTATTTCGGCCAAACACTCAAAGCTATTACAATTGACTGAATTAACTAATAATATAAGTACCAGTATCACATTCATTTATAATTTTGTATATTTATTAATATTTTACATTAAATACATTATTTTGGCCATTTAATATTAATATATTGCCTTTCCTATTAGTAATAAATCTTGTGATTATTAAACTGGGATATTCATGGCAACCGATTAATATTTACCCAAACCTTATCACAATAGCTAAATACTTTCAATACTATTTGATAATAATGTATTAGAAAAATAAGCTATATTATAATGTTTAATATAATTATAAATTTTTAATTACCATCGTCATATAAACGGATTATATTATAATTTTTGTCAAATATCAAATATTAATCATTTAGTTTTAAATATTTTTTAACTGAAGGTTTTATTAATTCAAATTCATTTAATATTTAATTTAAAACATAAAATACTTATACTATAAATTAATTATAATTTCAAATACAATTACTTAATTTAATTAAATAAATAAACATTAATTAATAATAACAAACCAATAAATATGATACAATTCAAATTATTAGTTTGTATCCAAATAGGTATGGCCATGTCCGTTACTGGTTCATATTTCTGTGTAGTTGTATCAGAGTCTTTTGTATTACACCGTTGAAAGTCCTTGCACATTTTGTCACTTTCAGATTTTCCGGCTTTTATAGTTTTCATGTAATCGTCGTACTCTTTAGTCTCGCATTTGTCCTATAAATTCACATTTTATTAATAATATAAAACTTTAAAATATCATGGTCAAAATAATTACGTGTTTAGCCTCAAACATACAGAAATAAGTGAAATATATATTGCAACAGGTGTATTCACCAGGCATTGCGGGGTCCGTAGGAATGTCCTTGGGCATTTTATTTTGCACACAAACACCCACGTTCATTACGATCTGCTGGACACAGTCCTGACTATAACTATATACGATAGGAATTAAGAGCAAATTTACAAAAATCAATTTCATTTTTATAACTTAATACTATAGCAGTCTAATTGCTTTTTGGAAATATGGATTGGTGTATAAATGTAAATTTTATTATTTGAATAAGGTGGCTTATATACGAAAATTTAATGTCAAAACTTATGGTAACTTAGGAATCATGATCAAATATGCAGAAGTATATACTGATGAACTTTGCCTTCCCTTATCTATATGTTATTGCTTACTTTTGGTCTAAATTAGGTTCAATAAAGTAATAAGTGTTCAAATAATCTTAATTTATAATACCTGTTAATAGTTGTATATAAACTTAAAATACTTTATTATAATAACTTAAAATTGAAATAATTTGAATAAAATTTCAAAAATAATCTATTTTATAATAAAGCTTTTTTTAAAATCATGGTTAAAATTATGAAATTTTAAAACTAATATTACTGTATAAACTACAAATGGATGCCAACACGCAAGAACGCTCAATGTGAAATTTCTTGTTTATTAATGTAATTTTTGTGTCAGTTACCTATAGAAAAGTCATAATTACTTTATATTGAGTTGATATATACTTATATTACCATCAAGCTTGTTAAAGGTTGTACAAAAACTTGAAGTCATATATTATAAAAACCTACTTTTATATATCAAGACTTTGAATGAATTTTTAAAAAATATTAAACAATTTAAAAATAAATCATTTTAAAACTCAAGATTCAATTAAAATTATGAAATTTTAAAAACTACAAATTTCTCTTTAAATATAAATTTAACAATAAGTGTTATGCTTCAAAATAAATTTTAATTTTTATAATTCATATTAATTATATAATATTAATTTATGTTCGTGATCAATTTTCCATTAGTGGCAGAGGTGTATAGTCGGGTGACTCGCAATTCATGGTGTAGAAGCCGTGAACTCCTTCGTCAGTCACTGTACACTCATAGGGCGGGGCACAGGCGCACCGGGACTTATAAAACTGTAAAATTAATCATGCAAAATTTTAAATTAATCTACAATTATTAAAATAAAAATATTTTATTATGATTATTAGTTGAAAAATATTATTAAGTAATTATTATTATTAATTAGTTGTTACTGTATAATAAATAGGGTAGTTACCTTGCCCTGACAATAGGCTCCCTTTGGTAGGACATCGGTGCAAATACCTTGTGTACCATCGGTGCAAACACCCGACATATCCTTATAACAGCAATCTTTGTCCCCACAGTCGGTGTCATTGAAACAGAATCGACAGTCAATACTAACTACCAGTGCGCTCAATACCAGCGCCAATACAAATACTGAAGCTTTCATTGTAAGTGAATTTGAATTTTGAAAACGCAATTTTAATTATTTTGTTTAGTAATTTTGCTAGTTTATATACTATTCACTTAACGTGATATAACCGACTGTGTGGTTATACTGTACCACACGCTTAAAGTTAGCATTTAGTGGGGGTTTTAACAATAAGTATATTTATCAGCTGTAAATGATACTTGAACTATAATTATAAGTGGTAATTAGTTTGATTAAATGTCATAATTAACAATTATTGTATAAAATAAATTATAATTCATATATTAACTAGTTCACATCGTCATTAACTATACACCATACAATACCAGCAATATCTAATTAAGAATGATAATCATTATTAAAAATTTTAAACCAGTCATTAACCATATATTGTAAAAATATTTCACGTATAATAATTTATAACAAATAATATTTATTTTAACTGCAAAGCTTAATTTTATCTATAAATTATATTGAGACAAAGTAATTAATTTAGTCTTTGATATCACCATGGACAGATCCACA